GCTGGTGATCGCAAGTGCGACTGCCGTGCAAGGGGTCTCGGGTTCGATTTCCGGGTCGGGCAAATTATTACTGGTTTAAAAAAAAAATCTCAGTAGTAACACGGAGTCTGGAAATGTGCCCGGTATATGGCAATAGGCTCAACCCCTATTTACATGGGACTCATAACATCAATAGTGAAAAGTGGGTGTTACTTCTGTGTGCACCTCTGCTTACCACTTCGGGGATAAAAGGCGTGATGTTATGTTATGTTATGATGGTAAAATATAATACGTTAGTAACCACTCCTGCTTTTCCCGCGGGTTTCATATGTACATAAGAGCTGACTAAGGTACTATATATATGGCAGACAGGACAGGAGCGCTTTCTGATAAATCTGCTATCTATAACCTATTTGCCAAGTGTAGAGAATGATCTCGGAATCGAACCCGAGGCCCCTTGTCCAATCGCACTTGCAACCACTCGGCCAACAAGGCAGTCAATACATTTTCTTATTAATTCAAGATTATTCACATTAAAAAAACAGACACAATTAATAATCTTAAAACACAATAAACACAAGTCATTGAAAAACAAATAATCACAACATTAATAACAACGAATTCAAAAGATATAAAGCTATTTAATCTATACTTTTATTTATCTTAAAGTTCTTAAAGCAATTTGAATCTAATATCAAACTACATAGAATTTAAATTAAACTATAAATGTAACCAATAAAGGTGAACCTGGAATTTAATCTAGGACTAGGATTATCTAGAATAAGAATATTGTAGTTTAAATGGAAATTAGATCTTTAATTATGCGTACATAAGGTACATATTTTAATACCTACTCTTTATTGGATGTTACTCACACTTATCATCATTTACGATAGTAAAGGCGAGTTTTGATTTTGTCTTTATAGTGAAAATTTTGATATCCAAAAAATACCCAATAATACTTGCTTGACTCAAGAATCGAACCTTATAGCACTTGCTTGGCGATCATAATAGTATATTTTTCCATAATAACTAAATTGTGGAACATACGACACTAATTAAAATGCACGGCTTGCTCTCGAAAATTTTCGAAGTGGCTCGACTAATTTCAAGTTACAATCGGGGCTTATACCCTTAACCAACGTGACGCAACTAATCAAGCACTCCAAACTTACAGACAATTTGAATTTACTTCCTATATATAAAATCGATACATATACAATTGTTTCAGCGAAACCGTTCATGTGCGAACTGAATAATGAATTTATTGATGACTAGCTGTTACCCGCGACTTCGTCCGCGTGAAATAGCGACTTCTGTATAAATTGGGTTTTTAAATTAGTCTTTGTCAAGGTATATTCTACGGCTGTACAACTGGAACAAATATCATCACAATCGATTCAGTACCTAGGTTATATTTATTGAGAAATGAATTTATTTTCGTGGTTTCTAAAATAAACAATCCCATAGAGGTTTTACCCGTACAGTGCCCGTCTCGTGAGGTTTCACTATTCTATGTTTGCAAATCAATGTTGTATCGCATTTCAATCAAATAGATATAGTGATTTTAACAGCACAGTTCCCGGTTTCGTGGGTTTTTCGGGTTAAAAACTTTTAGATGTCCTTTCCCGGGTCTCAAACTATCGCTGTACCGAATTTCACCAAATAGGTTCAATGGTTTAAAAGGTAAGAGCCCCTCTTTATTTCAACGTCCTTAGTCCTGGTTTTTTAGCGCATAGTTTCCGTCATTTTGGGATTTCCTCTCTCCTATAATGTGACCTGATATGTACCGGTACGACATGCGTTACTATCGCAAACATTTAAATGAAAAAATAGGTATTCTGATATTAGGTTAGTTACATATGATACATGGACTTTAATGTTGATATTAATGTCCTCTATAAGACTTAATACACCCCTTTGGCTCTATTGTCCATAATTTCCACAGCGTAATCAATACCAATAATATAAGGAGTTTTTTTGGTGGTTTTTTACACATCGGGTTGTCATTACCTAAAGGAGATTTTTTTTGAGGTCGGAAAATCATCCAATCACTTCTCCCGCCTTGGGTTAGGTGAGAGGGAGTGACAGATTCTTACTGACTAAAATCCACTCCGTTCCTACTCCTGCTCGTCGAGCCGGAGCCCCGTCAACTCGTTAGGCCTCCCACGGCACCGTATCGAGCATCAGCCCTACTGGGCTCCATCTATGATGGTGTCATGGCTCTGTAAGGCGCGCGCAGTATGCACGGGACTGGTTCTGGTCGGGTGGCGAGCTACCCTTGCTCTTCGTCTACAGACCCGCACTTACGGTGGCCTGTGGTCGGCCGATCTCCGACGCCCAGAGTGTCTCCCGCGACGGCTGGGGCGTGAGGAAGTTCGTGCCCTCACGCGCTCCGCTTTCTCCTTGGCAAGCATAACTGCTTCGCAGAATGATGCGACTGCATCCCAATCCCCCTCGCTCCATGGCCTGAACCAGAGCCGAACGCGAGAGGTCACCGTTTCCTACATCCCTGAGAACACGGCGGTGCTCAGCCCATGCAAGGTACACCGCCACGATATGCTCCACCGTGTTCTCCGGGCGGTCCTCGCATTGATGGCCTCTCTAAAGCCACTTTTAAAGAGGGGACTTTCCGCTGCAATGACAGCGAGCCCAGCCCTCGGTTACCTAAAGGAGTGTTTCGCTGTGTAAGTGAGGTTACCGGAGGCCCAATTACCCCTCCCTCAGCCCCCCCAATCCCTGACAATCCTCAAATTACCAATTCCCAAAAGACCGGTAACGCACTTCTAGCACTTCTGGTGTTACAGGTGTCCATGGGCGGCGCAGATTGCTTACCATCAGGTGATCCGTCTGCTCGTTTACCGGCTTATGCCATAAAAAAACAGCAAACTATCATAGTGAATTTGGCCTTGACGGTCTAAAATGAAAAGGACTAATATTATTTTTTAGCTATGTGCATTTAGCTAGTTTTTTTGATATACATATAAAAAATACGAATTCAAGTAAACTGAAAATATTTTATTCGTGGTTTTATCTCCTTAGACTGCTGTCAACCTCTTTGCATACCTTAATATTAATACCATAGTATAAAAAAAATCTATGACACATTGACTTTGTAAACTCACTTGTCACACAAATCTCAGATGACTTAAGAAATGTAGAGGTATACTAATAATATAAATTTGTATGTGCTTGTTTGTTTGTTTGTCCGTATTTCACGACAGAACGGAGTCAGGAAGGTTTTTGATTTGAGATAGTTGAAAAGATGGAGAGTATCATAGGCTACTTTTTGTCTTTTTCTAACCCCCTTCCACTTCCGTGAAACAGAGGTGAAAGTTTGTATGGGGTATTTTGCAATTTTCAATGTGGAAAGCTAACAATTGGTATGCGGGTTATTTGTGACCAGCATAGAATCGTGCATCATTTCATTTTTTTATTGTAAATCCTTCCCTCACCCCATTAAAAGAACGCGAGAGAAGCCGCAGACAGAGGCTAGTCTATGAATAAATTGTATTCAGTCAATTGAATTCGTATTTTGTCTTTAAAATCTCTGATGCAGCTGAATACTAATATTATTCCTTGAAAACCCACAGAACTTCATTTTTATATGTTGATGCCAAAATATATTATGGAAGTAGGACGCCATAACAATTACAAATCATCAGGTTGGTTACCATAGTAATGTTACCTGTCAGATATCCGTTTTCAGGTTTTCAGATAAATCGTAATAAATAATTTGAACTTTATGCAGCGGTAATAAATTACAAATTGACTCTCCATTTTATTTAGAAAACGTTTGTATGGGAAATAGAAAAATGCTGTTTTGAGGATTTTCCCGGCAATTATTCGAATTTTTCTCACCTTTTAAACCTTCCCTAGACCTCCACGAATAATTCAAGACCAAGATAAGATAAATCCGTTCAGCCGTTCTCGAGTTTTAGCGAGACTAACGAACAGCAATTGATTTTTATATATATAGATATATAGATAGATAGTGTTCGACGTGATTCTTTAATTTGACGTAACTTTTTTATTTATGAACCGATTGACATGAAACAAACACTAAAGCATAACTGAAGCATACCACAATATATTCGTGAAAACCGCATCCAACTCGGATAAGCCGTTTCTGAGATTAGCGTGAACAGACAAACAGACAAACAGACAAAAAAAAAGTTAGTTACATTTTTGGGTTCGACATCGACATAACAATAGCCCCTGCTATTTTTTTTATTTTTATTTTCAATGTACAGACAGCACTTTTCAACAATTTTATTATATGTATAGATACATACAGAATTACAATTATTGATTCCATGTTATATGCCTGTATTAGAGTTCAGAACTGATATTAATAATTGTCAATTATCTACAAATCATGCAGAGTTCATTGACTTCTCAAGTGTTTTGTTGTAGACTTTATATTGTTTTGTGGAGTGAGTTTGAACTCATAATACTACTATTTAATTATTCTAATGGCTAGGTTTTTTGTGGTTGGAGAATCATCCAATGACTTCTCCCGCTCGGGTAAGGCGAGAGGGAGTATCAGATTATGACTCACTTATACCATCTCGTTTACACAACTGCTCTATGAGCTGGAGCCCTGGCCACCGGTTAAGTCTTCTTCAGCTCAAGAGGCTTAGATTAAGATACACATTTTTATTGCAATTAAACAATCTATTACTTTATACGTTACATATGATCTGCTGATATTTTTAAACCTCTACAGCAATTTAGAGTGATCAGTAACTCGTTAATAACTTCAGTGGTTTATGTATGTATATTTATGAAATACCAACCTGATTACCATACACTAGTCATAGCTCCTAACTCCTTGCTGTTACCTATGTAAAAAATGATCGATAATCCAAAAAAACACTTTGTAATCTGGACATCAAACACGACACCGTTTGCTGAACAGTTATAATTTAAAAATAATCTATTCAATACAAAATCTAGGTTTAAATGAACCCACAATAATTAAACGCTTAAACTTACCTTTAAACCTTCTCTTGTTTCAGAACCAGCGGCAGGATGTCAGAAAACGTCCTGTCCTTCAAGGCAGACGCGTCTGACAACAAAGCGAGGTATACCTGCGAAGCCAAGAACGTCATGATCAGCAACACTTTGAAAGCTGAGATAGACCTGACTGTGCTATGTAAGTATATTCATCAAGTACTGATTTCTGCCTGCGGCTTTGCCCACGTTTGCGTGGCATTAAAAGTAGCCTATGTGTTATTCCGGACTATAAACCCCTCTTTCAAATTCCATCTCGATCTCTTCAGCCGTTTTTGACGTGAAGGGTAACAAACATACAAACTTTCGCGTTCATAATATTAATAGGATTTAAAATTGTATACAATTAAGTTAACACTGTAAGGTCGATTTTCCATCACCTGATAAATAGCTGAGGAGTAACATTTGAACATTTGACTATTATCCCATACTAGACCCGCCCCGGCTTCACACGGGTGTAACACGTACACATCAAAATACGTAGCGTAGTAGCACAGACAAACGGTAGATAGCGACTTTGTTTTATAGTATGTAGTGATTATTCCATACTAAAACCGGTCATATCTCAATTTTATTCGACAGTTAAAAATTAACTGATGATTGTAAAATCGGCCCTCAACCGTAACCTCTCATTTGAAGATTTATCCTCGTAAATGGTCACGAAAAATACTTAGAAACGTTCCTTAAATATTATCCTATTAAATATAGAAAATCAGATGACAATCAGTTTTGCAGTTTTGGAGTTTGACGCTGACGGACGTGCAGTCGTAACTATATTTTATTATCGTATGTAAAGATACTATTATCAACGTAGTTTCCACCAGGCACTGTAAACTAATAATTTGTCTCGTTATAGTGCAAAAAAAGACTAACTAATATTTTATTTTCTAACGAGAAACTGAAACTACTTATTATTTGCTTTAGCGGAAACTGTAAAAACTAGGTAAATAAGAGTTTGTAATAAACGCAAGTCAATTGACAAAGGCAAACATAGTTCGTCCTTTGTCATAAATAAGATACTAACAAATCAGTTTTGAGTTTACTCTGTGCTAGTTAAGTCAAAGGAATAATTCTACAGAATCATAAAGATATTCAATTAAAATGAAAACTCATTAATGTGGACATTCCAACGAAGTAATATTAAATAGAAAAATATTAAAATAAGCAAGCAAAGGCAATTATCGTTCATTTGTATAAGAATTCTATGAAATACTAGCTGTTGCCTGCGACTTGGGCCATGTAGAATATGAGTTTTAGGACATAACTGTTTCTTTTTTTTGTTTTGCCTCGTTGGCCGAGTGGTCGCAAGTGCGGCTGCCGGGCAAGGGGTATCGAGTTCTATTACTGGGTTTTTTTTTTAATCTCAGTAGTAGCACGGAGTCTGGAATTGTGCCCGGTATATGGCAATAGGCTCACCCCCTATTACATGGGACTCATAACATAAAATAATGAAAAGTGGGTATTACATTGTACAGTAGCATAATGTGCACCTCTGCCTACCACTTCGGGGATAAAAGTCGTGATGTTATGTTATGTTACGTTTTTTTTGTTTCAATTTTATAAAATAAAAAGACTTATGTTACTCTTTAGTACATCTGTTACCTGCCAATAAAAGTCTTGCAAAATCGGTCCAGCCATTCTATAGATTAACCGGTACAAACAGACGAAAATTGTAAATATGTTGTTTAGGTATGTGTATCGTATGTATATTCATATGCATGTAGTAAAAAGCGGTTACTTTAATATTACAAACAGACACTCCAATTATATTTATCTGTAGGTATATATTTCTTCATTGTTATTGTAGGATTTCTTGTTAAAATATTATTATATGCCTTGAAGGGTATTAGAGATATTTGAATTACATTGGGATGGATTGAAACGTTTTGATTTGGAAAATTCAATTGTCTACATTTCTATTAGATTGAATTTATAGAAGGGTAAGCAGAGGTGCAGAATTATGACACTTAATCCCAATGTGCAACTAACACCCACTTTTCACTATTTACGTTATGAGTCTCATATAATAGGGGGTGAGCTTTATACCGGGTACAATTCTGGACTCCATGCTACTACTGAGAATTTTCGAAAACCCACTAATACTTTGCTCGACCCGTGAATCGAATCCGAGATCTCTTGCCCTGCAGTTGCACTGGCAACCACTCGGCCAACCAGGCATCTCCCTCAGAACACACCCTCAAATCTCGCGCGACGATTGCTTACCATCAGGTGATCTGGGTGCCCGTTAGCTGATGTACCTCATAAACAAATCATAAACTCTATCGCATAACAAAGTAAGCAAAACTGTCTAGTTATCTATGTTCGATTCTCAGCTTAAATAAATTGGATCCCCACAAATATAGCTCAGGCTAATGAGATTAAGTTTTGATACTTTATTATGTTGTATTTTATTACAAACTGTGTCTAAAGTATCTAAAGTTTTCCGTTTACGTTCAGGAGTTACGATCACAATGTTCGTATTAAAAATTATACAATGTACGTAGGAGTTTCTCGAAAATCAACAAATATTATGTATTGTTACTTTGTTATATATGATTTTATAACTGCACGCTTAGCACGGTGGCTGGACTACTGACTCCCGCGGAACGTGTGCCGTGTTGGATTCCCGTACGGATCCGGGTCTTTGTGTGATCCACAAATTATTGTTTCTGGTCAGGGTGTGATGTGTATGTGAACTTGTATGTTTGTAAACGCACCCACGACACAGGAGAAAATCCTAGTGTGGGGCGAAAAAAAACTTACAAAGGAGGTAGACACGACTACACATCGAACTTTACATAACCAGTATAAACTGAACGTTAAATGTGTGGAAAGATGATGCGACGCGACACCAGGATAAACTGGTTTTGTATAGATTGATGTCTGGCCGTGTGTACACAAATACAATGTAACAGCCTGTTATATTAACCCTTTGAGTACCATCATTATAGACACAATTAACTCGTCGAGTACCGTCATTATAGCCACAATTATAGAACAATAGGTTGCGGTCACCGGTGACCGCTTGGTGTTTGACAGTTTAAGGTACAATAGGTTGCGGTCACCGGTGTCCTCGCGGTGTTTGACAGTCCCATTTAGTGGGGGTGAGCCTTTCGCCATACATTAGACACATTACCGTACTCCGTCATTACGAATATATTTGCAAATAAGAGAAATAACCACCAATACTTTTACCCGACACAAGAATTAAACCCAAGACTCCGCACTCCGCAGTCGCGTCGAATAATAAAGCGAGTCCAATGAAATGGACACAAAATTCATTTTAGAATTAAACGAAAACGACCTAAAAGTCACTAGATTGTTATCACGAAGTACTGAATACAGGAAATTGTAGGAACAATACAAGTTTACACTGAAAATCAGACCTTCAGGCTTCGCAATATTTGTTTTCAGGCATTAGGATCAAAGTACTGAGATTATTTTGAAAGTACCTAAAGCTTTGTAATCTTTCCAACGATATCGGTTTCAGCTCTGAATCAGTTTCGAATTGTATTTCTAAAGCTAGATTATTTTTAGATAGGTATTGTATTTCGGGAAAATTCCTATCAAATTTTTATATTAGAAGATTTTGCGGTAATCTAATAGCTCTCTTCTCAATACAATGAGTTTGTAAAGATAGTCATTATTCGAGATACCTATGTATCTTGAATTAACTATAAAAAGAAGAGATACTCACGAAAATGTACTGAGAAAAGCTTTAGCCGTGACCGGGCGTGCTGGTCATAACAAATAGTCCCTCTGGTACTCGAAACTAGCAGAGCTTCCCTTAATATTTTTACGTCAGTAACTTGTTAATTTAACTATGTATCTTGATCTGTCACTTTAATACTAATAAAACGATACTTACATGATTCTGTTACAACAACATACCA